CTCTGAGCAGAGAGGGAACTCTGCAAGAGCAGAAGCTCTTAACTTTAATGAGAGAAAAAAATATTACTTTTTCATTTTAATTTTGTGAATAACGTGGACAACACAGCTATCAGTTCATTTTTCCTAGTGGCCAGGATTTGCAAGACTCACAAAGCAGAGTCACTTCTGGCATCAGCAATGTCCACCTCAGCCCCACAGAAAGAGCTCTGGCCCATGGATCCAAGGCAGCTCAGGCTCTCTCTGGACGTGACACTATTTATGCACTTCCAAAATCAGCGTGGTCTGAAAAATTACAGGGATTTCCTCAGTTTTCCTTCTTTTTTCCCCCTCTCTGGGAGCATGTTGCCTGGGAGATGGATCAAAACAAGTCCCCATAGCAAACATCACAGAACAAGCCCTTCTCTGGTAGGCAAGGAGCTCTAGTACAGGTGGCTATTGCTCTGTGGCTTGTGTCCTTGTAGTGCTGTGAAGTGTCACTGACTGAGACCCTCTGCCATTCACCTGGTTGAGAGCACCAGGGAAGAAACAGGCTGGGACCAGCAGATGGGCTCAGGGATTCACCCAACCCAGTGGCACCCAGTCCATGCACACAGGAGTTGCTAAAATACAAAGAATTCTGAAACTATTTCCTCTACTTCCACAGAGGGAGAATGTAATTTAATTTAATTTTTGATTTGCACAGTAATGGCAAGGCCATTTATGCAGTTACGTTGCTTTTCTTATCTAGTTCCCTTTTCAGCTGCTCCAAAGTCTTCCAGGTGTCACAGTCAGGTCATTAGTCTGCTACAGCAGCCATGGTGCCACCAGGGAAGAAGATCCAAACCCAGAGATGCTAAACAGATCTTTGTAGACTGCCAGGCTAACCCACTAATTACATAGCTTTTTATTTGGGACACTGGCTACTCCCATAAAAGCTCTATTATTGGAGATAATACCTCCAGATAAAGCTCTGGAGGTCTCTCAGAAGGCAAGTCCATTCATCTAAATCAATTGAGGTAACTGTGTGGTTGTGGCTCTGCTGCTTGAGTCAATGCAGGGGGAGGTGTTTAATAAAAGCTAGGGTCTTCCCCTGCAATCTCTGAGCTTAATTTTAGTTATTGGACTCCTTAATTTCATGGACTTTATCTCAGTGCTGTCACTGTTGCTCACAATTGGGCTGACACCTTGACATCAATCCCTTGTTGTGGGGTCATTTTGCAGCTCTCCTGCACACATAAAGGGGGATGACAAAAGAACACATTTCCTTACCAACCTGTTGACAAAACCACTTCAAGACCCTCTGAACAATAACTACAAGTGCTGCTAGAGATTTCTACTGTCCTTATTGACACCAGACCTCAAGTCACTTCTCCTGTAATCCCTCGTGTGCAGACAGAGCAACAATGTCCTCTTTGTGAGATCACACAACCCTGCAGAAGGCCAGAAGGAGAAATTACAGCTCCTAGATTTGCACCAAAATGGTGAAACTCTGCAGGGGAGCTGGATTTCAATCCCAATGCACTGCATCGTCCTTTGGTTTTAGAAACAACCTTGTGGAAACCACTGCAAAAACAACCTGGAGTAAAGCAAGAGATCTGCAAACATCACCAAGGTGCTGAGACAAAAAGTCAAGACGAAGCCACATTAGTGTTTGCCTCTGCAAACGTGGAGGCCAAAATGCAAGTGCCTAAAGAAACAACAGCAGGAGCAATCATTGCACTCTGAAATGGCCAGAACAAGAGCCTGAGTGAATTTATGAGATTGTAGGGTTATTGGAAAACTATGGAAAGCAGTATTTGGCTCTTAGCCCAGACTGCAAGGGGCTTAAAAATGCAGCTGGAATTAGCTTACAGCAAAAGCAGCAGGCCCAGGATGAGGAAAGTATTATTCTCAGTGAGATGTGCCTTGGGTCTGACCTCTTTTCATCACACGCCATGGGCCCTTCTGAAAATTAAAAGCATTTTACCATGATGGAAAAGGCAGGTGGCACATCCCAGTGCATCAAAAAGTTCCTGCACATCTCTTTGCTCTTTTTTTGCATCATCAGACACATTTGCTGGAAGGAGGAGAAGGAGCTGTCAGTGTTTTCCTCGTTTCACCCCTTGGGCAGCCCACACAAGGCTGCCTGCATGCAAGGAGCACTGCAGACAGAAGAGGCCAAGCAGGAGGACAATGTGTCAGTGATCACCTTTGGGTCACCTGCTCCATGGCCAGCTCAAGCACACCCTACAGAAGGGACCTCTTGCTTGGAGTAGAATTACATGAGGCAAAGACACTCATCCATCATGGGATTTTCTCACATTCTGGCTGAGCATCCCAGAGCTGCAAACACAAATTATCCATTGCATCTGCACATGCTTCTAGCACCAAAGTCTCTCTTAAAGTGTCCACCCCAGAAATATATCAAGAGTAGGATTCCAAAAGACTTCCAGACTGTGGGATTTGTCTGCAAACAGAAAATTTCATCATTCTTTTGTTCCAAACCTCCTCTGGCCTGCTGCTTTGTAAGTTGTCCCTGCATGCAGCTGTTCCAACACCTGGAGGCAGGACCTTACCTATGAATTCCTGGGATGGGACTCTCATCCCAGCTGCCTTCTACTCAGAATGTCTCAACATTTCCACCTCTCCTCTCTGACTGCACAAAACAACCATTATGTTATATATATCCAGTACACAGCAGCTAGTGAGACCCCTGACTCCTCACTACAGTATGAGACAACCCTTCCCTCTCTGTCCAAGCTCTTCCCAACCTGACACCATCATAGAACTCCACTTAGGATGTACCCAGACTCCCAAACAGGTTCTTTTCCAAAATTACAGGAGTAATGCTCTGAGTTCTGTTCACGGTCTGTGCCTGAAGCTGGCACACAGCACAGATTTCAGCTCAGGAGCCAGCATGGGGCAGCTCGGCCGAGCACATTCAGAAACAGAAATTGTTCACACTGTGACAGGACGTGAGCAGACAGTGACAACTGGGAAAGCCACACTACAGGTAAAAAGGCAGAGAGAGGAGGGAGATGTAAAGAGACCTGTACCTGGAAGAGCTGAGGAACAAATTCCTAATACTGCAGCAGCCAGAAATGTCCCCCCTTTCCCAGGCTGGGGCACGCAGGCGCCGGGAGCCGGCGCTCGGCTGGGCAAACACAGATGCAGGAGCTGAATGGGAGCACAGTCAGCCCCAGCTATTTTTAACTGGTGCAGAGGAAGCTTTGACTTTTCATTATGAGGGCTGGACAAAGTGTCCATCAGTTGTGCTGAATGTGCTCCCTGGATGGGTGGGGGTTGAAGCCCCCAGCCCCAGCAGTGGGAGCAGCAGCTTTAATCCCCCCAGTCTGCCCACAGCTGCACGGGTCAAAGAGTGCAACAGCTGAAATGCACTTCTGATACATATCCTGAGGGCTGCCCCAGCTTACCCTGGGGGTTTCTGCCTGGTCATTTCCATTAAGGCTGACTGGTGAGATTCACTGCTGGCATAGACAAGCACCAGCCCATCAGGATCCCCCACGTTTAGCTCAGCATGACGAAATAAACAGTGCAGAGGCATCACCAGCAGAGACTGGCAGTTGGATCTGGTGGCCTCCCCATGCCACTTTGCTCCCCTGGACAAAAATCTGTGGATTTGGCAACAGCAGCACCTTTACTTGCCAAGTATGTTGCTTGTGGCACTGGGGAGCAGGGGTTGGGAGGGAGGAGGCAGGGCTGGGACCAGGGCTCTCCACCTCCCCCTTCTTGCCCAGACAGGATTACACCTCTGCAATTTAATTGTAGGATAACTAATTTCCTCTTAAATGTCAGTTTATGCTGCTGTCTCATATATTTGAACAGCACCATTCTACAGTGTCCCCTCAAAAATATCAGCAGCAAAAAAACACTTGCTCATGGGGCATCCCAAGGAGAAGAGCTGTGTCACTGGCCAGATGGCCACACAGCAGCTCAAACTTTGTATGCTGGCATTTGGCCAGGTGGTGAAAGGAAAAGGCTCAGCCAGCTACTGAGTTCTCTCCATCCATCTCCCAAGCAAGCCACTCACACATCTGCTGTCATACATAAACATCATGCCTCGGGTAAATCCACAGAAGACACAAGTAATGACGCCTGTCCTGTCCATCCTGACCTAAAAAGGTGCTGAAAATGTTCTCAGATAACAGGGGAAGCCACCAGCCTCACAAAACAAAGTTGAGCACTAAACCACTCCAAGTTCCACTTTCTCAAAAGTACATGCACATCCAGAATATGCACACGTATGACAACATGTTGCTCCTCTCTGCCAAATAAGCATTTGTTAAAATCCCGCATTTATTACACACACTACAATCCCATAAAGGGGCTCAGGAGCCACCAATAGCGGGCATCTTTGGATGTTCTTAAGGGAGGATTGCCTAGAGGGTGAACTGCTTTCTGTGGCCTTCCTTGAAAGGAGAAAGAAACATTTCATCTGTCTTGTTCAAAAGTAAGTGCTGGCATCCCTCAGAGGAACCCTGCCCTCATCACTCCCATGAAATGTGCCCCTAAGAGTCTTTTTTTCCCCAGCTGCTACAAAGGCAGCTCAGGGTGATTAGTTCAGTAGATGTTTATGCTGTTATGTGGAGTCAGGCAAGAATAATCCCTTACAGTCTGTCATGGTCCAAGCACTGCTCTCACTACAGAAGTTCAAAAGCAAAGATCTGCTCCTGAGTATTTCAGATGAATTTTCAAAAAGAGGTCTAGAGATAGCAAACCCAGAATTATCTGGGTGGGGGAGGACAAGATCACAAGTAATACTATTTTTAACCTATTGCTCATGAACAAGTTGATACCAAGCTTTGCTCAGGTCCATGGGAAGCTGAAGAGGTTAACACAGAGGTCAGCTTTGAAAACAGTTTAATATTACCTCACCAGTGTGTTACTTTGCTGGTGATACCCAAGGAACAGGAAAATCAGGGACCTGCTGCTATGCATTCATGTACACATGTTCACAAAGGACATGGGAATGCCCGTGCCCACTTTGAAAACAAGGACTGGAAAGCAAACAAATCCCTTACCCGGTTGTCCTCTTGAATCTCCCAGTCACTGGAGAAGCTCAGCACATGCTGTGCCTGCGAGCAGTTGGAAAACTGGAAAAGGCTGGCAAACATTCTCCTGTTCTCCTGGGTGTCAGGGAAAATCGCCTCCTGGAAGTTGACTCCGTGTGGCAGCAGGATGTAGTTCTCATCCATTCTGGAACACAGATTGCAGGGGCAGCCCGCTGTGAGAATGAACAGCACTCTCTCTCCTGCAGGAGTCACCTGTCATACTTCAGCCTGGCTCGACAAAAAGTCACACAGACTTTTAGCCTGCAAGTAGCTCTCAGCTCTCCTGGCACCAAAATGGCAATTCCCACCACAAGGACTGCATCAGGAAGCAGCAGTAAGGACCAAACTGCTCTTTCCACCCTGCAGACACAATGAAGGAGGCAAATCTGTATTTTGGGCCACAGTTTCTACTGAATTTGCATCACTTTGCCCTTGAGCCCAGAGTTTAAGTACTCCTTCAAGCAGTCAATAAAATGTGTTTAAAGATGTTGCTGCAGACTAAGCCCTAGACAGCATCAAAATGAGTTTTGTCATGCACCCAGCCTAAGAATATACCAAGAATTTCAAAACAAACCACTGAGTAGTATTTCGCAAATGCTCTCAAATTGAAAGGTCGCAGAGATGGCTCTGTTCCCACATTGTGGTTTATTTTCTTATTCTTTCGATGAGCCCAAACTCTGGGTCTGGCCGGGACTCAGCAGAGTCGATGGAAAGCTATCGGGTGAGTATTTGGGGATGGGTTTTAAACTCCCACGACAAACTTCGACAAACGCGCTGGTCTCTCTCCAGCTCCGTGACCGTCCCGCCGTAAAAACAAAAGCAGCAGCACCCTCAGCTACTCAACAGCAGCTCCCTGAGCATGTGCTGGAATACTACGAGAGTTTGGTGTTCCAGGCGTTCCCTTCCCTATGAAACTGTGCAAAGGAGCGGGCGCTGCGCGGAGAGCGGGACGGAGCGAACCCTGCGGGCAGGGACGGGCGCGCATCCCCCGGAGCCGGGACGCGACATCCCAACCCCTGCCCGGCCCCCCCAGCCCGGGACTCACCGGAGGAAGAAGAAATAAGCGTAGCCCTGCATGACGGTGTGCGAGTGGCAGGAGAAGTAGCCGAGGCCGGTGAGGTTGAGGCGGGAGCCGGCGGGCACCTCCAGCATGCTGCCCCACGCCTGGTCGCACAGCAGCTCGATCTCGGCCGAGTAGAAGAGATCCCCCGCTCCGTGCTGGGCGCCGCCGGGGGCGCCCCTCTGCCAGGGCAGGTAGTTGTAGGCGCCGTAGGGGTCGGGGTGCAGCGCCAGCACCCGCGCATACACGATGATCGCGGCCAGCTCGGCCCGGCAGCCCTCGCTGAGCGGCCGCCACTCGGCCGGGAGCTGGCAGCCACCCCCGGCACCCGCCCGGGCCCCCAGCACCAGCACCAGCCCCAGCACCGGCACCGGCAGCGACACCGGCAGCGGCATCGCGGGCGGCTCCGGGCCGGGCTCCGCGGGGCACGGACGGCCCGGAGGCTGCGGGCACCGGGGCTGGGCAGGAGCGCACGGAGGCGGCGAGGAGCAGATGCGGAGCGGTGGAGGGTGCCAGGGGCAGAGCACGGAGGGCTGAGAGCCGGGGCAGGAGGTGTGCGGGGACAGAGATGCGAGGAGCAGAGATGCGAAGGGGAGGGATGGGGAAAGGCAGAGATGCGAAGGGGGCAGAGAGGCAAAGGGGAGGGCTGTAAGCGAGAGAGGTGCAAAGGGGGAGGTGAAAAGGGAGGGATACAAAGGGGAGGGATGCGAAGGCAGAGTTGCAAAGAGGAGGAATGCGAAGGGAAGAGGTGGACAGGACGGAGGCTGCAAAGAGGGGAGATGTAGAAGAGCAGAGAAGGGAAAGGCGGGCGCACTCCGGGGTGAGCACTTGGTGGCACCCAGGGCTTTGGAAGGTGAAGGTGTGCCTCGTAGGGTTTTGGAAGTGCAAGGGTCCCAGTGGAGCAGGGGGCTGTGCACAGCTCCCCTAGGAAAGAAAATCCTGAGAAACTTTAGATGTGTTTGTGTAGAAACTTATAACTCTAGTCATCCACTTCTCCCACTTCAAATGAGGCTGGAGAAAAACTTGCAAGTGGAGGAGAGCAGCCTGCAATCATTTTCCAAAATACATCTGGTGAGCCAAGTAAAAGTAAAAAGCCAGGTCTCAATGTATTTTGACTTCCCACTGCTTCATCCTAGAGCAGTCTGATGCAGCTTTTTGGCAGATAGCTCAAAGACTGACCCTCTCCCCACATACAAACTGCTGTGAGCTTCTCCCAAGGATCCCTGGGGACCTTGCACCACTCACAGCCTCCAACAGCCTCTTTCTATTTCAGTATTCTCCTTTTCCCATATCTGATCTCACTTGGAATAATAGTCAGGAATGGGCATGGGACACTTAAAATCTTCTGGAAGTTTTTTTTGTATGAATTTCGTGGAGACACAGTCACAGCTAAATTTCTCCCTGGCTGTAAAGGTTACTCAAAGTCTGGCAGCATGTCCTGGCTGGTTCCTTTAATCTCACCCTCCATTTGTCTCCATCTGCCTCTCCAGTCCTCTACAAGGACTTGGAGCTCCTCACTGTTCCATGTTCATGCTGCTCCTGGTAAAGGAGGGTCCTTGTGCAGGACTGGGGTTCAAAATAATGTGCAAAATAATTAATCAGTTAATATTTATAATATCATCAGTTAAATAATGCTGAGTCAACTTCATGACAGTGAGTCAAAAAAGCTTCAGTGACAAGAGTCTTCTTCTGGAATAGTTTCATCAGTCTCATCTGGGTGCTGGAGAGTTTAACAAAGTAGTATTCATATTTCATGATGGCAAGATGCTACAATATATTTCACCATAGATTTATGCACGAACAGCAAAGTTGGTTCTTGCTAAAAGATAAACAGATTTTTATTTTTTTCACTAAAATATATTTAGAATGGCAGATAGAGTTTTTCTACTTTTTTTCCTATTTCTTGAAGATCAACAAATTGCTTCCAACTTTCAGGGAAAAAAAGTTTTAAAGACAATTTTGCATTTTTTTAAAAGAAAATACCTTCAAGAAACCCCAAAAGACCAACAAGCTCAGTATTTCTTTAATGTTAACCATTAGAAAAAACTGCTTTTTGCTTTGGAACCTGAAGGGACAAAACTGTGGTAGAGAAGATTTCAGAGCCTCTTCCAGTAGGTTTTAGATAAATAAATAAAAAATAAAGAGTAAAACAAAGAATTGAGACTGATGTTGGCTTCAGATAAAGCTGAGGCAGTTTTGGAGGCATTTTGTGCAATCTGGTAAATGGAGGCTTTGATATGAATCTCAGGTTTCTATGAGAAATGGTTTCTTGAGATACTAACAAAGAATAAAGAGAGAAGTGCTGCAGGTGGTGGGAGAGGTGTTCAGCCCATCCAGGGTGGTGTCTCCATGTCTGTCCATGTCTTTCCAAGTGGTGCAACTGGTGTCAGAGCCCGGCAGCTTCACTCACACAAATCTTGTGTTCAGCAACATGTGAGTGCTTTAATACTTGAGTGCCACTTGTCTGGAGGAAGAGCCCCAAGAAGCTGAAGAGATGTTTTTAACCACAGGCTGGTTGGTTTTGTCCTGGGAACCAAATTCTCAGCTTGTGTGAAATGCAGTTGCTGTTTCCTCTGTGTATACATACAAGATTGATATATTCTGGGTAAAAAAGCCTCACATTTAACATTCATCTCTGCTTACTGTGTGTTGCAAGTAAATAATGGTCAGCTGTCCTCAAACTGCTTTGGAGATATCTGATCTAAGCTGTGATCTGTTCTGCTGTTCCTCACATTTCATTTAGCCACTACAAAACATAACATAATTTAGCTGGGAGGGAGGACAGGGTGAGAAAGCACAGGCAGCTCAAAAGCAAAACGTGGAAGTCTCTCCTTAATGCTACTATTAATAGCCTAAAGTGCTTATATTTGATCAGGGTGCTGGAATCAGTGAGCCAGCTCAGGAAACACAACTGCATTTGCTGGCATACTCTGGTGCTGGCTGATGCTCTCCAAATTGCTGTTTGGTGCTGATTACCAGAGTGTGGATGCAACTAATTAATACTCTGTGGAATTTCTCTGTCATTCTGCAGAGTGGTCGTGTCAGCATTTTGAGGATAGAGCAGGCATCCATGGAGTTGATTTTAGAGCTGAATGAGCTGAAGGGGGCTCTTAGCCATAACCCTGGAGCAGACACAGTAGGTGTGCAAATCTACACATAAAAATATCTCTCGTTTGGAAGTGCCTGATTTCCTTGGTCTCTTCCATCCATGTTTGCTGGTGCTGTGCCCACTCTCACTGTAAGAACTTGGGGTGGCTCCTTTTCTCCCTTGCCCTCTGTGGCATGTCCCCAGCTGAGACCTCTCCCTGTCAGGAGTCTCTCTGGAGATTTATCAGTGTATAACCTTTCTTTCCCATGCTAATCAGCTGATCCCTTTGCTGTTTCAATTAATTAGCAACTCAGATGGGTACTTTGGTAAAGAGTTCAAACCACCTCCATTCAGTGATTAATGTGATTTTGTTCTTAAATTTCTCTCCATAGAAGCTCTATCAATTTTCTTCTCCCTTCCTTCATTTCTGAGGTAGTGAAAAGTAACAGGAGCATCTGAATCCGTTCCAGGAGTCCTTTCTCTTCCAGCTCTAGATAACGAGGAATTAGTGACATGAAGTAAGGATTTAAAGCCCTCCCTGGAGGCTGCATCCTTCAGATCTGTGTTTGCTGTTTCTCCGCAGGGATCCACCGGCTGATCTGAGACGTTCCTCAGTGCTGTGTGAATACTTTTGTGCTGTGAACTCAGTGTGGGTCTGACAAGTGCTGTAGCCAAAACCAGCTAATCAGAGGAGCACCAATAGAGCCAATTACTGCTCAGGCTGCACTTTCAGCCACTCATGCATGTGCCACAGTTATTCATTCACTTCCTCTGCTTAGATAGTCTTGTAGACTTTGAGACAGGCTCATGATTTTCCCAGGCAGGAGCTCTCCCCTTTTTTCCCACATTTTTACAGATATTTAAATCAAAGATTTCTCCCTCTGGGCTATGTAATTTTCTCTGCTGTTTCTGTGGCAATGCAGGTGATTGAAACCTTTTAATAAAACATTGCTCTGCTCTGTCTCTCTTTGCCCCTAAAGTATTGACTGAGTTGAGCATTAGTCCAGGTATCCAACAGGAGAGCACAGTGCTCGGTCTGGCCGCCTTTCTGATGGGTGTAGGTGATCTGAAACCTCAGACCAGCTGTCTTTTATTTATATATCTGCAGTGATTCCTTTGTAGTCCGGGGTACAAAATATCAAACCCAGATTTTTTTCCCCCATGCACAGCTCTGTAAACTGGGTGACCTACAAAGATGAGTATTTGGCCGTGCTAGAGTCCCCACAGGAAGAGATGTTTTTGTTAGCTTCTTCCATCTATGCTTCTCTAATTTGAGTCATTCTTCTCATAGTTTGACATTTGATCCATTGTATTTAACTATTTTTGTACCAATACTGGGCTGGCTGATTCCTATTAAAAAAAATAAATCACATTTCCTGTCCATAGTTGTTAATGTTTTTTCTTTAGAAGAGTAATCACGACCATGAAGAAACTGGACCTGTCTTTTGGGATCAGTTGGGAATATTTGTCTCAAAGAATTTGGAAATATTTATTTTATGCATAGCAGTAAGAAGACTTTCTGTTATATCAATTAGAATTTGAATTAAAAAGTGAGTAGAAAGATCAGGTGGTTGGTATAGATGGAGATCTTTGGCTACACCTTCATTGTATCTTTCTGCCCTCTCTTGTCCTCTTTGGGCTTTACCCTTTCCTCTTTCCATCTTCACAGAAACATAGAATGGGTTGGGTTGGAAGGGACCTTGAAGATTCTCAAGTTCCAACCCCCTGCCATGGGCAGGGACACCTTACACTAGAACAGGCTGCTGAAAGTCCCATCCAACCTGATGCTGAACACTCCCAGGGATGGGGCATCCACAACAACCTGTGCCAGTGTCTCATCACCTCTCAGTGAAGAATTTCTTCCTAATATCTAATGTAAACCTACTCTCAGTTTAAAACCAATCCCCCTTCTCCATTCTGCCCTCACTGTGGTCACTGAGTCCTGCTCTCCTTTCCCTCTGCCCTGATCTCTGACAATTCAATTCAAATTGAATTCAAATTCAAATTCTCTCACCAATTCAAATGCAGCTTCCTTTGGATCTGGGCCTCTGTCCTGTTAGCTGTGTTCTCCTACTGAAACTCCCATCTTAGCCCGGCTCCCTGACACCTGGGGACATCTGGTCCTCATCTCAGACCCCTCATGTCTGAAGGGGAACTGTTTTTCTCTTATCCATCACTTGGACTTACAACCTGGATGACATCCTCACTTTAGACTGGAGAATAAAGACCTCTCTATTCTCAAGGTTGTGTCAACACTTTCCCTGCAGCCCTGTATCCCAGATGTTCTCCCTTTCCTGCCGTTCACAC